CTTAAGTAAAAAGTTGTCCATATAACACTGTGAATGAACTAGGCGATTCACAGACATGGACTAAGAAAACAAGGACATGAGGGAAAACACCAAGCCACAGGGAAGAGTGATGTATAGAGACTAATAAGAGATTTTCAGAAAGCAGAGATTTTGGTGCAATCTGGAAGAGTATTTGCTCAGTAGTGGCAGAGGTGGTAATATCAGGAAGGCAAAGCGAGAACCCCTGGCACAGAGATGGATGGAGCATAGCCTGACCTGGAGGCTGTGGGAGAAAAGAGGTTGGAGATGAGGCCAGGAGTAGTGGTGGCTGAAAAAGGTGTCTTTCTTGGGAAGAGGACTTGGCTGTAGAGGCGGGTGCGAGGGAAGGGAGAACGGCATTGCTCCTTCTGATGTTTCCAAAAGCAACATTTTCAAGCTGCCTGGCTGCTCTTTGGTTAACATCAGATTCATTTTGATCCTAATTTTCTGGTAATTGTGGTTGACTCTCCCACTGCTGTTGAGAAGGGGCAGGTTGGTAGTGGCTGTAATTCTGGGCTGGAGCAGGAGCTGATCACCTCTTCACTCAGGGGTAGCCCTGGGGCATCCCTAAAAACTCCCCATCCTTTCCCCGCAGCTCTGTGTCTCCAGCTCTGCTGCTGATGTTGCTTCCCTGGCCAGAAAACTGCATGGGGTTAACATGGAGAACAGCTAAACTCAGTCCTTGCAGGCAGCGTGGATCCTGTTGGTGGGTGAGACCCTTGCTTGGATGGAAAGTGAGACATCACAAGCCTTTCAGAATATAGGTGGGACATGTTTGATGCATGTACAAAGGCTTATTAAAATATTTTACATTGTGTTTTAAGGTCATTAGTTAGTATATCAGGAGTTACCCCAGGCTACCCTTGAAAATTATTCTGTGTTTTTACCATACAAAACTCATTCCTCTGTCAAGTGGAAGATAAACCTAAATTTTTAATTTTTTTTAACTCCATCTTTTCCTTTAACCTTACGTGGAAAATGCAGTGCTGAAACTGGTGAGAATTATTCCAAATAAAACCATTCATCAGCATTATACTTTGGATACTCAATCTCTTTACCTACTTAGCAAAAAATTATATGCTATTGCCAAGATAGATTAAAAAAGTGGAAGTCTAAGTAGCTGCTTTATATCCAGGAGTTACTAATAGCAGTATATATTTTGAGTGTCAAACGTATAAAAGTGATCGGTGACTGTTTGATATCATTGGTGTTTTTAAAGCTTATCTCAGGTGTGTGCAGCAAGTACAGCACTCGTCTGAGTCTCAGAGGGCAAGAGTGGCTGTCTGCTTTGAGGGAGCTGCATCTCAGCTGTGACCAGCCAAAAGAGATGGGAATGGAAGAATGAAAGTTATAAAGAGCCATGACTGTGCTGTAGGAGTTAATGTCCAGATTTCTAGGCCTCTCCTCCCAAAAAAACCCAAACCCTTAGAGAAGTCCTCAGCTGTAAATGATATCTTTAATCTAATTATATCCTGTGGAGGATATTGGGATGAATTGACTGAATTATATATTATAGTCCATACCAGGCCAGTGCCTACCATCATCAGAAACATTCCTGAAAGCTTGAAAGCTAGTGTGTAGCATCCATCAGGTGTTGGTTTTTTTTTTCCAAGACCTGGATATACTGTCGGAGGTGGTAAACTGTCCCTGGAGTATTGCACGGATAGAACATACTGTATGTGGTGTACTATCCCTGTGGTGTCGGGACTGCAACTTCCTTGGCAGTTCTTGGCCTTTCCTACTTAACGCAGAAACGGGAAGGGGTTCAGCTGGTCAGGGACCATCAGAGTTGGGCTCTGAGGCTTTTGAGGGCTGGTAGCTCTTGTAAATGTCCAAGCTTGGCAGCATCAACTTGAGCTGGATGACTGAAAGGCTGAGTCTGTTCACAGGACCCAGTGTTTGCTGGGGACTGGGAGTGCAGCTGTGGATCAGCTGCGGCACGTTTACCTCTTACCTCATGGATCTTGGACAGGTTTGGGGCATGAATCTAGGGATAACACATGTAGAAAGCATGCTCCTAAGAAGTGAAGTGCAGAAGAAAAAACAGTGGAGTGCCGAGAAGGTCAGACTCTGGATCTGTTTATTGGCAAGGAAATTGCCGTCTGAACACCAGGTAATAGATGCTGTCTGTGCTTACTTTCACAGTTACCTGACCTCCTTGATCATGGCCTACCCCTTTAGATGTAGCCATGTCCTTCTAACCCACTGTGCCAAAGGGACACTGCCGCGCTCTGTGTTCCTTAAAAATGAGGTGGCACTGTGCAAGCGAGGACAGCAAGGGTCAGGTTCTGGCAGGGCTTTGTGAGCCCTCGCTATGTCCCCAGCAGGGTCTGTGCCGGCCTGGCATATGGCCCACGGCTGGTTGTGAAACCAGCCATCTCCCTCCAGCAGTAATGTCCCCTTTGCTTCTTGTCACAAAGGCGTGATTTCTGTTCTCCAAGGAGAGGATGATGAAGACTTCACTGAGGAGGCCTTTCCCATCCCACTGCATGGTTAGGTACCTTCCTTTGAAGCAGCACCATGGCTGCTGAGGGAACTCGATAAGCCCTCAATAGCCTCTCCCACCGTCCCACTGCAAGGGAGAGCTTTCTGGGCTCTCCTCAAATGACTTACACCAGTCTACACCAGCTGATATTTTTATGACATCTTTTGTGAACCTCATGTTGAAATGCAGAGGTCTCCCCACTGCAGCTGGGCCAGCCAGTGGTGCAGGGTATGGCCCAAGGTACGTGCGCACCGTGCGAAACCCAATCCTCCTGGTTTGCGTGCAAAGGCTTGACAACGCGAAAGAACGGCAGTCGTTCAAACCAAAGCTGCCTGTTTGCTTTTTGTATTTGGGGAAGTACAGTGTGTGTAATCCCAACAGAGGCATCTTGCGGCAAGAGCTGAATTTTGCCTTTGTGTCTCAAAAGCTGGAAGCCACGTGGGCCCGGGGAGTAACAAAGAAAAAAAGCAAGAACCTGCCAGAAGAAACTCACAGTAAAGGGAGAGACTTCTTTTCCTTGTGACTAAAACACCTGTCATGGCTGCCAGGACTCTGCTAATTACACAATAACTTTATTATATCCCACTTGGAAGAACAAACTAGACTTGAAGCTCCAAAAATGAGCAGCCTTTACACTAGATTAATGCAGGCAGAATGACTGCATGGAGCCGGTGTTCTCCTTGTCCTCCCAGAAGCTCCAGAGAGTAAAATGGCTTGAAGACTCCTCTATTTGTTGCTAGTGCTACATAATAAAGTAATTGTGTAATTAGAAATAGATTACTGATGGGAGAGAGGCATTTTCTATGCAATGTAGGTAAAAGACTGGCCTCTCTGAATAGGTTTGAAGCCTCAGTGCAGTATCTCTGCTTGTTTTGGTTTGAGCTTCTGGTAGCCCCTAGTAGCATCCAGACAAAAAAAAAGGAGCATCTCTTGTTGGGTGTGGGGTTTTTTTCCCTTATGAATATATAAGGAAGGTCCTCATGGAAGGATGTGGTGTGGTCCTGCCTTGCCCAGCTCCTCAGTATCCCATGTTTAAGTAGTGTAAATGGCTGCAGCCTGGATTAGAGTTTCACCTCGTGATGGTGGTGTTTGGGATGGTGGCTTGCATCAGCCAACATGAGAATAGATGGAAAGGGGGAATATTGTATTAAGGCCTGATGTCCCCTGAGGTTTCTAGGTTTGGCAGCTGATAGCAGAGACTGAAGTTAGAAGGTCTAAAAATAAAGTAAAATGTAAGCCAAAAATTGGGGTATAGCTGACTATTGAGAAATAGCACTGTGTGGGAAGCAGGCCTTGGCTCTCAGGTATGGACGTTCTTTCCTCTATCACTTTGTTTTCCCTATGGGAGCAAGCCTGCCATTGGTTAGGACAAGAGGAGAGCAGTGATGCTCTGGGCTGCAGACACTTGGTATAAGGAGTCACAGCAGGAAGTTCAAGGAGCTGGAGCACAGCCTCTGTCTCTCTGTGGGAAGGAGGTTGATGTGGGTGTATTTGGGCACACCGGTGTTTTGGGGACCTGCTCTGTGGGAGTAGACAAGGACATGTAAGTGGGTGCTGTGGGGCATTGGGAAGGCACTGGGACTGGCCTGGGAGGGCAGCGTTTGGCTGTGACACTGGTGGGTGCTGATGTGCTTGGGGAGTGGGAAGGTGTCATGCATGTACTGACCCAAGGAGGTGGGTACTGTGGGCTCCGTGCTCCCTGAGCAGCAACGTCAGCACTTTGCATGGTGATCGGTGTGGAGGGACTGCCTCGAGCTCTCCACCGGGTCCCTTTGGGCCAGCTGGTGATCAATAACAGGCCCGTGAACAAGCAGTAGATGGGAAACTGGGAGTTAACAAGTACTTGAGGTGGTGAAAGATGAATTAGAGATAAGGAGGAGGGATGAGCTGAGTGGGATCTGCTCCAGTGCATCACGTGTCCCAGCAGCTATCAGCCCAACCAAAGGGCTCTGTGTGTGTGCCCAGGTGAAACTGGGGGAGGGGAACAAGATGGGTGGCACGTATTGGGAATACAAATGGTGTGAATATGGGTTTGAGGTAAAACAGAACTTCTTTGGGAGTGCTCTTTCTCTGGTCTAAGCTCAGTTATGTATTCTGCCAAGTTTGTGATGCCAGGGCATACAGACACCACAGATCTATCTTGTGGCAGCCCTAGGAGAAGTCTTTGTGCAGGACTCACCTCTGCTGTGGTGTCACCTGTAGCTACTTAAACCCTCACAGGATTGTCAGCCTGGTACCTTGAAACCAGGAAAGAAAACTTGAGGTATCATCATACAATCATAGAATGGCTTGGGTTGGAAAGGACCTTTAAAGGTCATCCCTGCCCTGTGAGCTGCCTGGACATGGGCCAACTGCCAGGGGTGCTCGGACAGGCATCCTGTCCAGCGGCTGGTGTTGGTCCAGTGTTGACACACAGTGATCTGAATCCACATGGTCAGCAGGTCTCGCGGGTCCCCTTTCTCCTGTTGTACCTAATGGATGTGCGTGGTGTTTGCAGGTCCCGTGGCAGTGATCAGCGGAGAGGAGGATTCAGCCAGTCCCCTCCACCATATCAACCACGGCATCACGACGCCTTCTTCTCTGGACGCTGGCCCGGACACGGTGGTGATCGGCATGACCCGCATTCCTGTCATCGAGAACCCTCAGTATTTCCGACAAGGTCACAACTGCCACAAGCCAGACACGTGTGAGTGCCCGATCTGGCCGGAACCCCCTGCCAGGACCAGGGGATGGGCTGGGGGGATGGGGGAAGGAGGGCAAGAGGAAGAGGTTAAGGGGATGAGGAAGAGAGGAGGTTTTTGAGGAAAATGGGTCTTGGTATGGTCCAGAAACCAAAGTGAATCTCAGGTCTCAGAAATCACAACATACATGTAGGGGCTTCCAGAGAAGACTTTCCACCCTCACCTTCACCTCCCTTCACCCTCCCTCCGCCACCCACCAGTCACCTTCCCCCAAAGTGCCATCTGAAGCTGGGCTCTGCCTTGTTGGCTCCAAGTGTGAAGTCCTAGGCATGAGCAGGAGCCACCTGGGAGCACGGGGACGGATGTGAACCCTGCTTGGCTGGGGAAAGGACCTGCCTCCCCTTCTTCCTCCAGCAGTTTCACAGCCATGGGGCTACCTCTCTGGCTGCTCACTGGGCCAGGGAGAAGCTCAGGATACGTGGCCATAGGTGGGACAGATGCGTGGAGTTAAAGAACAGGAGTCTTAGATGCTGGATGTCTTGTTTTCATGGGCTTCTCTAAAGCTTTTGCATCTTCACTGCATAAATCTGGGTTGTGAACTGGGCTCACTAGACTAGCATGTGGTGATCAAGTGATCCGATCCATTTTGTGTTCCTAAATTCTGAGCGTAAAAGAAAAGCGCTGGGTAAAAGGATGCTTTTCTGGGAGTCCCGCACGGTTTGCCGTGCGAGCAGTGAGATGCAGCTGTCCCCGACACGTGGCTCGCAACTGGTAGTTGAGTTCCCCCAGGCCTCTTATCAGCTCGGAGATGCAAGCCAACAATGCGGGAGGTTCGGATAACATTCCTCTCCTGCTGTGGCTCACCCTATTGGTGTGTTTTTGGTTCTAGGTAGAACTGGAAAAATAAAAAGCTTGCAAAAAAAATAGGGGGGGGGAAAACCCCAACTTGTGCTACGTCTGTGGCCCAGCCAGAAGCAGGGAGTGCTGCGTCGAAGTTGCCTCTCTGCTCCCCGTGGCTGCTGCGGGCTCAGGGGTGCAGGAGAGAGAACTCAGCCCCTGGAAACAGGGAGGAGGCAGATCTCTCCACCTGCGGAAAATCATTCAGCATTGAGTGCTGGGCAGGAGCGTGCTGGGCAGGAGCATGCTGCTCCCCGGCTGTTGCCCCCCCCGTCAGGGGGCGC